CGGCCATGGCTCACAGGCCCAGCCACTCCGTGGCATGTGGGATCTTCCCGGACCGGGGCACGAACCCGTGTCCCCCGCATCGGCAGGCGGACTCTCAACCACTGCGCCAACAGGGAAGCCCTCTAGGACATCTTTGATTTTAAATTCTCCAACTCATCATCTCTGCAAATGCTGACGTCTCAGCAGCTCGAGTACATCTCTCAGATTGTGCAGCCAGAAGTGGCCTAGACGTCTTGCCCAGCTACATTTGGTCTGTAGAAGACCCTTCCCCTAGTTGGAGGAAACGCATCAGGCTCACTCTGAGGAAGGGTGAAGTGACAAGGGCGCTCCCTGCCCTGGTCTCCCTGTGCCACTGCCCCTCGCCCGCCCCGGTGCTGGAGCGCCCTGTACACGCACAGCCACAGGGATGGAGCTGGGAGTGGGGCCGGGGCCGGGACCCTGGGTTCCCAGACCTGATTCTGTTGTGGAGGGTGAGGACCGTCCATGTCTCCCCCAGCCCTTCACACATCGGCGAGACCCACTCAGAGTGCCCTCACCTCGAGGGGAGGCCTTGGCTGCTGGCAGAGACTAGTGCCCCTGGAGAGCAGCCTACACAGGTTCTTCTCCCAGACCCCCCGCAGCCTGTCCTCATCTCCCCACAATCTCCAGGTTACTTAGGGCCCCTGCACTGACTACCTACGAACATTTCTGCTGTCCTCAAAACAGCATTGTTCTAAAGTGGCTTGTAACTGACTATACGTCTTGATTGTACCTTACTCTTTTGATTGTCAAATTTTGTAAAATCAGGTTTGCATCTGTTTGCTTTTTGACTTTCATTATTATTTTATTTTTAGCAAAGTAGAGTTGACATAATATTATTAGTTTCAGGTGTAACTTTGATTGTAATTTTATTTTTTTTCATTATAATTGTAAACGTCTCTGTGGAAAGCTTCTGTCCTTGGCTGATATAAAGTTTGCAATAAGGTCCTGTGATTTTATTTGAGGAGCACCCGCTCCTGTCAGTGCATAGTTTACGTGCATGCATGACAGCCATACTTGCAGAAAACGTTAAGCCACGTGATCACAGTAGATCTTCTTAAGAATCACTATTTCCATATTGGGAATTCTTCTTGACTCAGTGCTTTCTGTGGCCATGACGGTTACTCTGTTGCTTCACATAATCACCGGAAATTGTTAACCAAAGGGCCACTGGCTTTTGAGTACAGAAATCACTACGTTACTAACATCACACTACAGCCCTTTATTGAATACTCACGTAAAACACACAGTTCTCTCCTCGTCATAACCCCTGAGCTCTGTTCGTTCTGACATAGCGGCTCCTTGGAAGGGTAGTACGGGAGCTGCCCCTTCATGGCCATCTGTCTATAAGGAAGGGGGGCAGGTAGTCCCTGGGCGACTCTGTGCTAATGTGGGTTGACTCACTTCGCATCCACCCCCTGAGGAAGGTGGTGGTGCCCTCAGATGGGTGGCCTCGCTCATCCATGGTCGCCTGGCTAGTGAGGCTAGAGCCAAGGGCCACTCCCAGGACTTCCCAAGAAATCAACTTATCAGCAAAAGTCATCTTGCCAAATGGCAGGCTATGGATCAGCTTAAGTATGCAGGCTTGGGCTTTTTGGTGGGACTGTTTTTTTTAAATCCCATACATCTGTGGATCAATATCAAGGAAGCAGTGCATGTTGTCTTTTGCCAGGCTGGGTCTGCGGTTTTGTCCTACATAACTTGTCTTCTCACACGGTTGTTTCAGGGAGGCCAGGAATGCTTGTAATAAAACTTGTCACCACCCAAAACCCTTTCCACCGGCAAACCGAAACCCCGGGCAGTGTTTCTGTCACAGGATTACTTTGTTCCTTGGCAACTGCTCTGTGAAGGCTGTGCTGTCAGGCTTGAAATCAGCCGCCACAAGCTGAGGGCATGGTGGCCTTGAGCCGTTCTCCATGAAGCCTCAGGAAACTGCCTGCATCGCCCACCCTTCGTCCCAAGATCCCAGGGGTTGTCACTCTGTTCCTCCAAGTCCACTGGCCCCAGAGAGAGGGCCAGGAGAGATGTCATTGGTTCCCAAGAAGAGTTCGATACTGGATGTCAGAGTACAGAGCTGTTTCCCAGCTACCAACGTGCTAAGTGCTTTACGTGTGTTTTCTCATTTACAACCTCTTGACAGCCAAATCAGGAAGAAACTAGTGTTGTCATTTCACCAATAAGGAAGCCAAAGCCCAGAAAGGTTCTTTTGCCCAAGGTGAAGCATCTAAAAGCCCACCTGCTTGCCCCAGAATCTGCCACGAACTATACGGTCAGTTTCCATGTATACCTAGTGTAGATGCTAAACCACGTGCTAGGGAACATCGGGGAGGGAACGTCCACGGAACACACCCCATGAAGGGCCCCAAGCAGGAGTGCTCTCTCCAGAGCAGGCAAGTGGCAGCCTTTGATTATTTTAACTTAGTCTGAGGCCGATAGTGATGGGACTACGGGTCCTAAGCCTGCTTCGTTTCACCAACCACTGAAAAGGGGGAAAAAAGATATGTGAGCCCACCCATGAGATGCTTTAAGCAAATAGACACTTGGCTTGACTCTGAAACCACTGCCCAGAGTGAGAAAAAGAGTCTGGGGTTGTGTCCCTGCTGGAAAAGGGACCCCAGCCTGCTCTCAGGCCCAGCACACGCAGGTCGTAGGACACTTTGCCGTAGGATTCTGGGCCACACTAGCATGGATTCAGAGGTTATTGGATGAACAGATTCCCACAGGCCAAGTCCCAGGCTATCATTACTTTGAATAGGTTGAACTCGCTGCATTCAGACCAAGAAAACAACAGGTACAGCTGTCTTGCTGTTCCAGCCATGGGACAGGATTCCAGCATCGTCATGAAATGCAGAATGGGAAGTGCCAGCAACTCCGTTTGCAGTTTTGTCACCTAAATCCCTGATCCTACAACCGTCTGTGTTGGGTGGCAGCCCTGCTCAGCAGCCCCATGACCACAGCTGTGTCCCTGCCGTTCCCCTGACCCCACCCCAGTGCGCTTGGTACATCCGCCCAAGGTACCCAACGCGTTCTGTTGCTTTTCCTTGGCTCGTTGAGAGAGGCTGTTGTACTGCAGGTGCCCAGGTGGCCTCAGCACAGGGCTAATGAAGGTGAGGATGGTACCTGCGCCTTCATTCTGCCCCTTCACCCGTCACGTCATTTTGTTGTTGTTTAATATTTATTTATTTATGTATTTGGTTGCGCCGGGTCTTGGTTGCAGCAGGCGGGCTCCTTAGCTGCGGCTCACCAGCTCCTTAGTTGCGGCACTCAGGCTCCTCAGTTGTGGCATGTGAACTCTTAGTTGTGGCATGCAGGTGGGATCTAGTTCCCCGACTGGGGATCGAGCCTGGGCCTTCTGGATTGGGAGCATGGAGTCTTCTCCGCCACATCGCCAGGGAAGTCCCTGTCGCGTGGTTTTGAAACAAGACAAACCCCACCTATGAGTGGGTCACTACAGCGCAATAAATGCCCACGGGCCTCCTCTGTCCCCTCCTCCCTGCTTGCTTACTCTCGCCTCCCCCACCCCCACCCCCAGACAAAGTAGGCAAGCGTGATAGCAGCATTATCCTTCCGTTCTCATTTCTCATTTCGCGTCTCTATTTGCATTGTGCTGGACCAGGTCCCATAGGCTCAGAGCAACTGTATGTTTCCGTGGTAAGTCAGCAAAATACAAGATGCACTCAAAGCTCCTACTGGGAATTCCCTGGTGGTCCAGTGGTTAGGACTTCCCTGGTCGGAGAACTAGGACCCCACAAGCCTTGTGGAGGTGGGGAGTGGCTCCTGCTATCAGAATCCTGTGTTGTAACTAAATCACTTATTGTAAAATAAAAGAGATGGAGGTAAAACTACTAAGGGCATTAATATGCAAATCAGAACCCCCCAAACCAAGAGCTGCTCTGAGTTTAACTCTTA